CAACCACAATAATGGTACTATTCAATCGATCAATATAACTGATCACTATTCACTCGCCTATAATATCATCGCTATACGATCAACAACAACAACTACTACTACTTACTTGACTGTATAATTTGATTCGTTACACTAAATTTCGCATTATTAATTCCAATCAAACGAATGCGTCGTACTCACTCATGTCGTCGTTATTTCTCAAAATAATATTACCCGTACGTGGCAAAACGACCTTTCAATAAAATAACTAACTATTTCAAAATAATATGCGTTGTTCCATTATACAAAACTCTATCAGATCAGTCCGCTAAAGAGAGAAAATATTTCTAATCGTAAGAGACAACGTGGCATCATATCAATGGCCTAAATAGCAGCGCATAGTGTCCAGTCGCAACAGCACTATAGCAACAACAACATTAGATATGATGTTTTGCCTAAGCCATTCATTCATATCACAAACAATTAATTAATTCATAATCAGATGACACCATGACACTTATGTGTCCAATAACACTTATATGTACATTCCCTCCATCCAGTTACGTTCAATTCAAAAAATCAGATCAGACCAAAACAGTAGCACATATAACAATAACAATAGGAGACTGCGATATCAATGAGACACAATTCAATGTGTGTTTCAATGTGCATAAATTTATTGAATTGCAATTATCAATAATGAATTATTACTTTTATAAGAGAATGAGAAAAAAAACGATACTTACGATAGAATTTCAGCTGAACTGATTTCATTGCATTCGGAGCACTACTACCACCATTGCTTACTGATTCTCTCCAAGTTAAGTTGACGCTGAATGACGCGCGGCCGGCCACACCAACGCCACAATAACGTGGCAACTTCTGCTAGCCCCATTGCCCATATTTTTTATTAATTTAATAATAATAATAACAACAATAATAATAATTACTCACCATCATTACAGTTGCTCTCCTCTTGTGTACTGATAATTCCAATGCAATAACAATAATAATAATATCAGTAATAATATCAACCACAAGAAACATTCTCATCAATCCAATACCATTAACATGCCGAGCCGATATCGAAGTCGACAATCAAATCGATATTTCTCATATCATATTCAATATGATTGAATATCGTCGTCGTTACCATTGCAACTCCATTCAATTTGCTCCGTATAAACTTTCAAAATTTATAAGAAGACGTCCGAATTCAGCCGCATTTTAATTAAAATTGCTGCTAGATCACATCAAAAACACTACAGAAATCCAGTCAGCTAACATTATTTTGATATAATCGTCAACTCAGAATACATCCAACCCGATACCATCCATCCATCAGCAATTATAAACACGAATACAACGCAACAAATGCACATTTCCACTGATAATTNATCAAAAACACTACAGAAATCCAGTCAGCTAACATTATTTTGATATAATCGTCAACTCAGAATACATCCAACCCGAAACCATCCATCCATCATCAATTATAAACACGAATACAACGCAACAAATGCACATTTCCATTCATAATTAATATCAATATCATTAATAATATATCGCAACAGTGCAGCACAATTATTATTATAATAGTCCGATAATCATATCAAATAATACGTCAACAGTCCAACACGAAACTTAAAATCAACATAAACATAAACATGAACATAAAACAACGCAAACACGATAACAAAAAATAACATAACAAAAATAATAACAATAATAATAATAATAACGATCAGAAAATACCTTAACCCTCTACCCACCTGATTCGGCAGCAAGCAGGATCGTCCAAAGCAGCACGGGAAGAATATTCGATGAATCCATTTCACCCATTTTGGATTCAGCTGTCCGTATGGCTCCTCGTTCTTCGGTTTGAAAACTCCAATGTTCTCCTGAAATCAACGACGCCTAATTCAATTAAAAACCACTCAAAATGATCGATCACAAAATTACAACGATTCAATTCAGAACGAACCCCTTTAATATTCTTCACGAAATACGATCCTGATGAGCCTTGCTTAATTCGTTCTGGGAATATACCTCTTCTAATGGCTGTCTCTGCCTCGGTCAACACTCTCGCAAATTCACCATTTCCGAATGAGCCATATTTTTGTGTAACTAAAAAACAGACCCAATCAACCAACAACTAACAATAACTAGTAATAATAATAATAATAAAACATCAAATAATAATTATACCAAACAACAACATACTAAAAACAATAATAAAATAACCACTAAAACTCACACATTCTGGCTGCATCCTCATCATCGGACGCAGAGAAACGGCCGATCTGACTCACTCCACCTGACGAATCACCTTCCCCTCCACCATCGGTCGCTGTACTGATACTCTGCGAACGTGCTGCC